CTCCTCGGAGGGTGTAAGGCCTCCCCTAGAAAGTCTACTAAGTCTGTCCCATCATCTCGCTGAGGCAGGACCAAGGTACCTCTCCACCCCCACACCCCTGTGTCTAGGCTGGGCAAGGTGTCTCTCCATATAGAATGGGCTCCACTAAGTCAGTTTGTGCATTAGAGTTAGGTCTTGGACCCACTGCCAGTGGCCTCATATATTGTCCCAGTCACACCATTGTCACCTACATTAAGGGAGTCCAGTTCAGTTTTATGCAGGTTCCCCATTTGTCAGACCTGAGTCAGTGATCTCTCTCTAGCTCGGGTCAGCTGATTCTGTGGGTTTCCCCATCATGGTCTTGACTCCTTTGTTCATATTATATCTCTTCTCCCTCACTTCCATTGTACTCCAGGAGCTCTGCCCAATGGTTAGTTGTGAATTTCTGGATCTGCTTCTATCTGTTTCTGGAAGAGGGTTCAAGCTTCTCTGAGTTGTGGATTGTAGGCTGGGTATCTTTTGCTTTATGTCCAGTATCCATTATGAGTGAGTACATACTATATTTGTGTTTCTGGTTTTGGGTTACCTCACTTAGGGTGGTTTTTTTCTAGTTCTGTCCATTTGCCTGCGAAGTTTAGGATGTCATTGTTTCTTACCTCTGAGTAGTAGTATTCCATTGTGTAAATGTACCACATTTTCTTTATCCACTCTTCAGTTGAGGGACATCTAGGTTGCTTCCAAGATCTGGCTATTATGAATAATGTTGCTATGAGCATAGTTGAGCAAATGTCCTTGTGGTGTGAATGTGCCTCCTTTGGGTATACGTCCAAAAGTGGTAATGCAGGATCTTGAGGTAGGTTGATGCCTAATTTTCTGAGTAATTACCATACTGATTCCCACAGCGACTGTATAAGTTTGCACTTCCACCAGCAATGGAGGAGTGTTCCCCTTTTTCCACATCCTCTCCAGCATAAGCTGTCATTGGTGTCTTTGATCTTAGCCATTCTGATCAGTGTAAGATAGAATCTCAGAATGGTTTTGATTTGCATTTCCCTGATGACTAAGGATGTTTACCATTTCCTTAAGTGTCTTTCCACCATTTGAGATTGTTCTGTTTAGAATTCTCTGTTTAGATCAGTATGTACCCCATTATTTAATTTGATTATTTGGTGTTTTAGTATCTGGTTTCTTGAGTTCTTTGTATATTTTGGAGATCCGCCCTCTGTCACATGTGGGGTTGGTGAATATCTTTTCCCATTCTGTAGGAGCAGTTTTGTCTTGTTGACCATGGTCTTTGCTTTACAGAAGCTTCTCGGTTTCAGGAGGTCCCATTTATTAATTGTTGCTTTCAATGTCTGTGCTACTGGTGTACGATTTTGGAAGTGGTCTCCTGTGCCTATGTGTTCAGGGTATTTCCTATTTTCTCTTCTATGAGGTTCAGTGTGGACAGTCTTAACTTGTTTCTGAACACCAAACAATGGGTAGTTTATATAAAGTAGAGTATTTAGCTCACAGTTCTCAGTCCAGAAAGTCCAAGACCACGGAACTGGGCCTGCTCTGTTGTTTTTTATGTTACGTCATAACACGGAGGGTGTCACAAGAGCAGACAGAGCAAGCATGGCAGCTAAGGTCTCTTCCTTTTATAAGAACACTAATGCCATTGTGTTGTCTCTGCGCTCCTGACCTCATCTAACCCCGATTACCTTTTAAAGGGCCACATCCAAATACCGTTAACATATGAGGTCAGAGGCTACATTTCTATACCAATACCTTTGAGGGTAACATAATCAAACCATAGCATCTTCTAGGCTGACAGGTTTAGCTGTTCCCAGAGTGAGGCTGCAGAGGTTGCATGTGGGAGCTCCTCAGATCCCGTCAGACCCGCAGGACACTGCTCACTCTCCACCAAGAAGCCAGTGACTCAGTATTGAACATGAGAGGCTGTGTGATTAATCAGCCAGTCCAGGACCGACTCCGCCTCTGTGAAGCCCTTCCCACTCTGAAAGCCTAGTTTCCACGTGTCCATTTTTGCTTGTCTCTCTTCTTCTTCTCTTTGGGGTGATGTTTCAAGTCCCACAAGTCAGTTTTAAATGAAAGGGGCTTGAGGGGGCACAGCAGCTCATGAGGTGAAACTGCCTTGTTCCTGGAACCCCAGTGAGGCCGTGTGATTTGGGTCTCTCTGCTTCCGGTGCTCTGAGAGTGACAGGGGGAGCTGTTTCCTTTGACTTGTCAAGCTGACTCAACTTACTGCCATTGTTGGTAAGTGCTTGGCTTAAGCGCTTGCTTTTTCAAAGAAGCAAAGTTTTGAGCAAACTTGCCCTCAGAAGAACCCTGGAGTGTCTGTCACAAGTGATCCTCGATCCTGAGCCCAGGAATAAGCGAGGACTCAGCTGGGGTCTTCCGATAGGACTCATGGCTTCCCGCAGTCCCTGGGTCGGATGTGGGAGAGCCTTGGAGACTGGGGGACAGACAGGTGTTTCCTGGATAATTGAGTGTGCAAGTTTGAGTCATTCCCCTCTGTTCTACTATCCCCTTTGTGTAAAATATGAAGGCACTAGAATAAATCTTGAGGGGAATTTTTATGTTATCTGAGGTTTAAAGAAGTATATGTTGTATACTGGGCCAAACTGGAACTGTCTGGAAAGTCGGTTGTTACACTGACTTCTAACTGTTTTGGTACCTCAGGTTGTCCTTTTGCTCACTTTGTTGTATTTGGAGTTAGGGCGTTATTACATTTCCCTGACTGGTCCTGAACTCACAGAGTGCTGAACTCACAGAGGCATGAACTATCATGCATGGCTTCCATTTGATCACCTTTGCTATCAGCAAAACTAATTTGGAAGACATTGGTTATCTGTGTGCTACGTTTGAATGATTCCTGGGCTGTTTATGATGTCAGTCTGTGACACAGGTGCCGCTGTTACGTGATTGTTTCTCACATCAAGTGCTGAATGCCCAGTTAAGCTCAGCGAGTCCCCCATGGTTGGAAACTACACTATGTCTCCACCACCCGGCTCTCCCGAGTTCCAAATCTATGTTTTGTTCCCCCCACCGCCCCCCCAGACAAAAACAAGAGACAGGTCTACTCTTAATAGTTCTTAGAGAAAAACTGATTAGTGTCAGGGGCCTCTGGGGGAGAGTCATGATACTGTCTGAGTCCCTGTCCCACTCCGGGGGTGGGGGATGTCCTTTCATCTGCCAAGGGGAGAAGTTTTCAGGCCTTGTTATGTAACAGCCGCTGAGTTTCCCAGGAAAATCACTACCCTTCCGTCGTCTCAGCCCTGAAAAGTGTACTGGGAACAGTCTGCTGGATATTTCAGGACAGATCCATACCAGGGGAAATAATCAGAGTAATTCGAATGAGCTTTTAAAGTCTGCTAGGCACTGATGAGTGCGTACGTCATCAGAGACATCACTTGCTTCTCGGGGGTGGCCCTGTATGACTCCCATCACACACCAGCACATCGAAAGCTTGCCAGCCACCGTGCCGAGCCAGGAGCTAGAGGGGCCATCGGATGGATCAGATAAATTTAGAAGGAGCCAATCGCTTCCACAATTAGGTCTAAATGTCCCAAAGAAGGGAAAGAGACGGGAGAGCATAGACAGGGCAGGAAACTCTGGGGCCTCCACGGCGAGGAGCAGTGGCTAGAGAGAGCAGTCTTTGTGCAAGTCACTTTTCCCTGCTGTGGCAAAATACCTGAGCAGGTACCTCAAAAGAGGGAAAGGGTTACTTTGGCTTAGTCTTAGTGAGCTCAGTCTGCGGCAGCTCTGCTCCGTTGTCTCTGGACTTTGGTGAGGCGGACAATTATGGTGAGGATCATGAGGTGGAACCGAGGACACTGAGAGGAGGGAGGAAGGGGTGGGGAGGGGGTCATCCCAGTAGAAGGGGTTCACCAGTGATTTTCTAGAGCTCAGCTTCTAATAGCCCAGGCAACTGTGAATTCACAACAAATGAATCCATTGAGGAGGTTAATGTCTCACGATCCAGGAGTGTCACCAGCGAGGTACCAAACCTTGAAAACATGAACCCAAGTCCGAGAGAGGTGAGTTGTTAAGAGAGGGCTTGTTCCTTTTACAGGGGACCGGAGTTGAGTTCCCAGCACCTGTAACTCCAGCTATAGGCGATGCAACGCCCTCACCTGGACTCTGCAGGCACTCACACTCACAAGCACATGCCCCATACACACGAATAATAAAACAATTAAAAAATTACAAGCCCTCGGAAGGGCTACCTAAATCTACATTTTAACAATTGTGGACCCTACATTTCAAAAGACTGGAAGGCTTTAGAAGTTTTTACCATAAAGAAAAGATAAATATGAGTATATTTGTAGTTGAACATAAACATTGTTCAATACACTTAATTCAGCACATTAAGTGTATTGAATATGACTCGCAACTTCATTAATATGAAGTTTTTATGACTTTTGTGAGTTGACATCAAATAAGGATCAGGTTTACTGAATTATGGGACCAACCTAGGCATCCAAAAAAGGGGACTTGGTAGAGAAAATGTGCCATGCATCATTATATACACTATAGATTTTTTTTCAGTCTTGAAGAACAAGGTTTGGCCTTTCTGAGAAAAATGGATGCAATTGGAACTAATATTACACGAATTAAGCCATGAGTGTGTGTGTGTGTGTGTGTGTGTGTGTGTGTGTGTGTGTGTGCATCATGTTCATTCTTGGTACCCTTAGAGGTTAGAAGAGGGTATTGGATTCCCTGGAACTGGAATCAGAGACGACTGTGAACCACTGTGTGGTTGCTCAAAACTGAACCCAGGGCCTCTGCAAGAGCAAAAACTGCTTTTAACCACCGAGCCATCTCTCCAGCCCCAGAAAACAGATTCTGTTGCTCTTGGCTATTCTCTGAGGCTGTTACCAGAGCTGCAGTTAGAGGTCAATGGCAGTGCCTGATGCTAGCTGGCCTTTACGAAATGATCATGCGAACATGTTGGAATAAGAAGAAAATGGGAATCCTAGGCTTCGGGCCCTGATTATAAATCTGTTTAACCCACCAGGCGACTTTGAAGATACTACCTCTCTGCTCTTGACCTCAGTTTCCCCGTTTGACTACTTTTGATTAGTTTGGCAAGGTAAGCCCATTTTTTAAAGCATCTGAAATCTGACCATCTTACACGTTTAATCCTATTGCCAGCGACTAGAGGATGTTTGTTGCCTTCCACACCCAAACCCACCAGGGAAATAATCACTTTACTGCCCCACACAATTCACACCCGAGTGGGTGTTTCTTAGTCACACATAGTAGACTGCAGACTCACGTTTATGTTCCTCACTCCCAAGTCACGTCCTGAAGTCCCATCCCCAACATAACAGATTAAGAGTTAGGGACTTAGGGAAGTGTCTGCTTCATGAGCATCTAGTTCATGGGCATGTAGAAGGAGGGCATTTCTTGACCCACTGGAAGGAGTAATAATCCCTGAAGCTTCCCACACTCAGGTCCAGATTAGATGCTTCTAGGTTCAAGCTACTAATGAGCCCAGAAGGAAAAGATTCTGTTTGTAGTCAGGAGCCTCTCTCTCCTCATTATCTACTCATCTGCTCATTTGTCCATTTGCCTACTGTATAACAGTTCATCCATTCACGCATCCATCCATTCATCCATCATCCATGCATGCATACATCCATCCATGCATCCATCCTTCCATCCATGCATCTATGCATGCATGCATGCATCCATCCATCCATCTGTCCATCCATTCATCCATGTGTCCATCCATGTATCCACCCATCCATCATCATCCATCCATCCTATGTCCGTCCGTCCGTCCGTCCATCCATCCATCCATCCATCCATCCATCCATCCATCTTCTTCACTACCTTGCAATCCAGTCAACTATATGTGTGTGTGTGTGTGTGTGTGTACCCACCTGCTCAGTGCTCATTCATTTACCCGTACCACCTACCCATCCATCTGTCCACCTGTCTAGATAGCCATTCCTCCATCCATCCATCCATTCCATCCATCCATCCATCCATCCATCCATCCATCCATCCTTCTGCCCAACCCACGTGTCTTTCCATCCATCCACACAGCCATCTATCTGTCCACATCTGCTTCTGGCCAACCACATTTATTTTTCTCAAGAAAATACATTTGCCTTTACTCATGGGGACAGTGGCAAGCCCTGTGTGAGGGACAAGGGCGTGCTGGAGAAGAGCACTTGTCACGGGGGACAGAGAAACACAATAAGCACAGGTAGAATAGCTGGAGTGATTGCATCTGAGGAGAGAAAAGGGCCGTGGGGTCCTCTAAATGTGTCCTCTGTACCCCACTCACTTTCCTAGACACCTGGGTACCAGGTCTGCCTTTGTGAAATGTGTGCCCGAGCTGAAATTAATTATGTGGTCACACTTACACAGCTGGGGAAAGGAACACTCCACAAAGGCTCCCAGAATGGCTGGCATCATCATTATTACACAACCAGGCTTCCTACTCACCCAGGGAGTATCACTGTGGCAAATGGCCCCTCATTTTCAGAGTACGTATGTTTGTAACAAAATAGGGAAAATCGGGTGCACCTTCTTTTGGATATAGTCTGTCAGATTGGTTCCCATCTGGAGTCCTTGTTATTTATTATTAGTTATATAAGTTTATAATTAAGGGGGTAGCAGTTGCTGTGCTGCTGTACTCTGACCCTGTCACTTTCAGGGCGACTGGGATGAACTAGCCTTTGGAAGGCGGATTCGATCGGCACGGCAGGAGGACATCATGAGGGCAGCGTGGCAACACTTACTGATGTTTAGCGTGGGGAAGAACCTCCATGCATCCTGGGAGCTGTCATACCGAGGGGGAGAGGGTTTTCCACATGCTGACCTCTGAGGTCAAAACTGAGATATAATTTTAAGGAAGATTTCAGTTCAATGCAGAGATACTACCTTTTGATAAATGCACAACAAAACATGCACCCGAGTGTCCTTTAACAACTAAAGGAAGAAAGTGTATACTGTGATGCACATGAATCTCAAACACATCATGTTTGCTTTCATCTATATGAGGTGTCCAGAGCAGGAAAATCCGAAGAGACAGAAACTAGAGCAGGGCTTGCCTGGGGCTGCACGATCTCACCACACACTCCATCATTTAGCCACACCACCTATTCACCGGCTTCCCACCTGTCTAGACAGCCATCCACACACCCACCCACCCATCCATTCACAGCCGCCCACCCACTCACGTGCCCATTCACTCATCCATCCATGGAGCTAACCGCGCACATACCCATGCATGCATCTAGCCATCCCTAGCTATATGTTCTCCAAATGTATTTATTAAAAGTCCTTTTCATTTGTAGGAACTATGCTGAGAAATGAGGAGCTGTTGTTGATGGTAGCATATTTATTTTCTCATTAGCGAGATGAAAATACTCTAAAATAGATTGTGATAATGGCTGTACAGCTCTGAATAAAAAAAACCACATTGAACTTATTTACATGGACAAATTGTATGGCGTGGAAATATTTCAATAAAGCACTAATAAAAATAACTTGCCCATTTTTAACTTTTAAAAACAGAAAACCTCTTAGTCAGAATGAGAACCTGGTAAAGTGCTTGGTCCATGGGAGGTTCTCCATATCACATTGACTCCCTTTATCATCAGCATGCTTTGTCCAGCAATGGGACTATGCATCTAAAGCCACAAGAAAGAGTTCTTATCGTCCTGGAGATTCCAGAAAGCACTGACTAACCATCTGGAGGGAACCGGAGGAATGTCTCAACGGGGATGACAGGCCTTAGCTTGGATTTTCCTTAAAGCAGATCCAGAGGACTAAACTTGAGACCGGCCATTGATTTGGAAGTCAGTCCCTGCAGCCAAAAGTGAGGAGAAGGCACATTATCGTTGTCACCACCACAAGAAAGTTGCTTGACTCTCCAGGTCCTCTGATAAACACACAGAACGCCCTTTCCAATGGTCAGCCAGAAGAGTGGGAGGTATAGATGTGGTCTGCTCTATCAAAACTCCTGTTGAAACTTGGTCCCTGGTGTAGAGACATTGAAGTGTGGTGGGACTTTAAGAGGCAGGGTTCCAGAGAAGCTGGGTAACAAGGAGGACCCTAAGAGGGACACATGGGCCACCCTGGGAAGAGGAAATAGAGGAGATCTCCTGGGTAAATTGTGGGTGGGGGTGGCAGGGGGGAGGTGATGGGGGGATGAGAACATACGGGGACAGGATGGTCAAGTTGGGGGAGGAATGGAGAGGGAGAGCAGGGGAAGAGGTATCCTGATGGAGAGAACCGTTGAGAGGCTAGGGAGAAACGTGGTGCTAGCCAAATTCCCGGGGAATCCACCAGGATGACTCCAGCTAAGGCTCCTTGCAGCAGTGGAGAGGGTGCCTGGACTGGCCTTCTCCTGTAAGCAGATTGTTGACTGCCCTGACTGTCATCACAGAACCTTCATCTGGTGTCTGAGGAAAGCAGATGCAGGGGTCCACAGCCAAGCCCTGGGCTGAGCTCCCAGAGTCAAGAGAGGAAGGGATATGCGCAAGGGTGGTCGGGATCATGGCTGGGAAACCCACAGACAGCTGACCCGAGCTCCTGAGAGCTCGTGGGCTCCGTACAGACAGCATGGGAGCCTGCGTCTGCCTGTGGGTGACAGTTGTGTGGCTTGGTCTGTTTGTGAGGCCCCTGGCAATGCGGCCAGGATCTGTCTCTGGTGTGTGAGCTGGCTTTTTGGGTCCATTCCCTACTGCGGGATGCCTTGCTCAGCTTTGATACAGGGGAGAGGAGTGGCAGGGCTTGTCCTGCCTCAACTTGATGTACCGGGCTTTGTTGACTCCCCCATGGGAGGCCTTGCCCTTTCTGAGGAGCGGATGGAGGGTCAGGGAGGGAGTGGGAGGAGGGGGGGATTGATGGGTAGAGGGGAGGGGGGGAAACTGTGGTCGGTAAGTAAAATGGATAGAAAATTTAAAATAAAAAAAGAGGTAGGGAAGTGACTGGTAGTGACTGCTGGCATGAGGGGAATATCTGATCTTGGAGGGCGGTAGAGCAGGCTGTGATGACAGGGAGAGCCTGGCCTCACATCACTCCTTTCTCTTCTCTTCTGGCTGTGTGTCCGACTCCTTCACAGGCGCCCCTACCATGTGATGCTGCTGACATGAGGTCCTCCCTCGCGCAGAGCAGACGGCAGCCTCAGCTCTCAGGCTTCCAGAACTATGAACTAGACACTCTTTCCCTACAGGGCACCTGGCCCCAGGCACTCTGCCCATCAGCTGCTCTCCCAATGGTTAGGAACCACTCCTTGGGCATCAGCACCCCAGTATTCCCAGGCCACACCTGCATGTGAGCTATGAGGACACCGCACAGCCCAGGACTTAGGGGACGCTGTGAGTGAAGTGACCTTGGGTTCACAAAGAATATTCGGCTATGGCTGTATTATGGGTGTCAGGAGAAATTTCGGCTCAAATGAACAATTTAATGGCTATGGATAATGACTTAAAATGGAAGTAAAAGTACAGCAAAATATAACTGTTCCAATGCTTTATATTTGAAAAGCACAACTCAGGCAGGCTCTGTTTTGGCACCTGCTAAATTATCTCCGTGCACATGTAAACACTGGGTGACAAACTGAGATATGTTCACTCCCATATCCAGGGCGAAGGGCGGGGCTTGGCTGGAGCAACCTCTTGACTCTTTCAGACAGTGAAGCACATTTTAAGATCTTCTCAGGTAGCAGCTAAGTGAAGGGAAGAGCTGTGTGTTCCAAGGGAAAGAAAATGGGACAAAATGTGAATCAAAGGGGAACAGGACCTCGGTCTTGTCTCTGTTTCTTAGGGATAATGTGATGTAGGATTATGTGCCTTTAAGAGCCCAGCGGTTGGTTAAGGTCTCAGTAGAAATAGAGCCAATGATAAGGATAGATAAGTAAGTTAAGTTGGTAAAAGGTAGACATACAGATAAAGATAAGATAAATATATATATATACATATATCCCCTCATATCTATGAGCCCCATGTATATGGATTCAACTAAATATATATAAAAATATTAAAAATAAATGCTTGTAATGAATATTTACAGTCTTTTTCCCCTTGTAAATTGTTCCTCCAAAGCACAGAATATCTGGATAGCATTTATATGACATTTGATATTATACAGGATTATAGTGAAAATCCTTTTTGTATACATGTACACATGTGTTTTTATAGACAAGGTCTCATGTATTCTAGGCTGATCTAGAACTCATGGCAATCCTCATGTCTCAGACGCCCAAGTGGCCTGGTCACACAAGTTTATATAACAAATTTAAGCATCTTCAGATGCTGGTATCTTTGTGTGGTAGTGGAGAGATAGGCAGTAAAGGGTGATTGAATGTGTTCAATGTATATACACACCTAGGTATGTAAGTAGGTAGATAAGCAGAAAGATGGATGGTGCATAGATGTATGAGTGACAAATAGACAGATAATCAGACAGCTAGGATGAGAGATGGCATACAAGATCATAAATGAATGACACATAGACAGACAGACAGACAGACAGATTAGAAGAAATTGCTGAAAGGTGGCTCACTGGGAAGGGACACCTGCCTCCAAGCTGGACAGCCTGAAAGCCTGAATTCCATCTCAGGGACCCACATGGTGGGAGAAGAAAACTGACCCCACAGTTTGTCTCCTCACCTCCACACATGTTCCCGCATGTTTGGGCATGCAGACAGGTAGGTACATATATGCATGCATGCATACAATGAATAAATCAAGTGTAAACAAAAGATTTTTAAGAAATTGGGCCATGCAGTTGTGTTGCTAAACCTAAAATGTGTGGGATGGAACACGGTGCAAAAACCTTACTTACATTTCAGTCTTGATATGGATTTTCTTCCTTCCCTAGGAAATCTCAGTTTTTCTCTGAAGACTTTTTTTTCCAACAGACTTGATGAGGGACCACCCACACAGCCGAGAATAATCTTCTTTACAAGTCAACGGGTTGTGGGCGCTAACCATATCTACAAAACACCTTCAGAGCAGCCCTGAGCATTGCGGGCTACGGCCCAGTCAGACAGGTTCCAGAAGACCTCCACCGTGCAGTGGGGTGTGGGTGAGGAGCCGTGCAGGATCTTCTCAATTCCACCGTTCTTGGACAGCTGCAGTCTGGATTGCAGCCTGAGCCCTGGGCTGTGTTCCTGGAGTTCTGGGAAGGTCTAGCTAAGCCCTGGGGACCTTGACTTAGAGAGGCAATGTGTTGCTGCAGGCTGCCGTGAACTTGGGGGAAGACCTCACCCTGGATGAGACATCTCATTATTCTCAGAGAGTCAAGAGTCACAAACTGCAAATGGGGAGGGAAATACCTTGTTTCACAGAATCTCAACTTCACTCTGAATGGTCCTTTCTCTTGCCAAGGGGCCAGGGATGTTTTCCTCTGACAGGCAAACGTTAAAGGGAGCACATCTCCTGCAAGCTCACACGCTGACTTTCCCCTTGGGAAAGGCTTCTCCAGGGGAGATGAGGGAAGCAGTTAGGGAAACTCAACACTCTCTCATCTTGAATGGGTCAACATAACCAGATGTACATGTGTGTCTGGGACTCTCCACCTCTCCACAGGGTGATCTGATGGGGGAAGTCCTTATGTGTATATGTTGTCCTATTGGTTGATAAGTAAAACACTGTTGGCCAAATAGGGAAGCAAGATAGGTGGAACTAGGAACAATAAATATATTGTTTTTCCCTATATAGCCTCGATTATCGCTTATAACTAGGAGTTGAGGAGGATTCTGGGAAATGTAGTCAAGTGTGGATCCCAGGAAGAGAGGATGCGTGAGACTGTGTCCTTGGTAAGATAAGACCTTATGAAAATATATATTAGTAGTTATGGGTTAATAATTAAGTCAAAGCTAGCCAGTAAGAAACCACAGCAAACGGCCAACAACTTCATAATTAATATAGTGTCTCGTGTGCTATTTGGGGGCTGAGACAGTGGCGGGACCCAGACAGCTGGCAGGAAAGAATCTCGTTATAGCGGTCAAAGCCTGGACGTGAAATGCGGCCCCTTGTTGGGAACCTGCTTTCTCCAGTGAAGGGTGGAGGGGGCCTGTGGCTGTGAACATGCTGGATGCCTTTTGCCAGTGCTCTCTGCCCTCGCTTGCTGGTCTTCCAACCGTCTAATTGTGATGGCTATGCTCAGTGGAAGGCTTCCGTGTTTGCACAGCCATTCCCCACTCTAGTGGAGCTGAAGAGAAGTCTGAGGTAGTCAAGGCCCCCGTCTCTCCTCCGTGTTCTATGGAGGGCTCTGTGTAGTCCTTGTGATTTCTACACTGGAGATGTGCTTACCGTCCATGTTGCTGGAGAAAACACCGCATGGCTTAAAACAATCTGAAAATTATTGCTGAGGGGAAAGGAGACGATGTATGGTGATAGACGTAGACGTGATGGAAAATGATAACGTGACTAAAGCAAACACACAAACCATCTGCATCAACCTCTAGATGACAGAGAACGTCTGGCTGTCCCTGTTTTGTTTGCTTTACTGTGTTATGTAACCCAGGGTAGTCTCA